GCATAGGTATGAAAGGAAGAATGGACAGTTTTTGAATTATTTTGCTAATAATCAACTGTCATTTTATGAAAATACCCAGCCTACTTGTCTACCTACCTCTTTCTTTTCATCTTTAATTTCATTTTCACACTAAAAGTACTTTTTCGTGTGAAGTTTTACAATTAGTAATCATGATACAAAGAAACTGTTAGGCTGAACCACATACAAATTGACATTATTTTACCATTTTTGACTTACAGAATCCACAAGTTTATGTGGTTCAACTTAATACACGACAGCAGACAGTCATTAAAGCAGTTCACAGTCTGAGGCCAGGGGACAGCCTTTCATCATGATTGAGAGTCTTCTAAATATGACAGTTCCTCCATTTGAGCTTCTGCTCAGCTCTACTGGGAGTCTCTGAATAACACTTTTTGTGTAGGTTTCCTGTCAAGACCTTCATTTGACCAACTGTGTACAATATTTTTTTAACTCAACGAACATTTATTGCACACTTTCATATGGTCCAGGCACTGTTCTCAGCCTTGGATACAAAGATCAGTGAGTCAGTCTTTATTCTTAGGAGCTTGCAGTCTAGAAGGGGAGGAGACAGACATGGGCATGATTACAGTGCAAAATAGTAACATAATAGATAGAAATAACATGCTGTAAAGGCACTGACCCTGCCTGGCTGAGCAAGAATGCCTCAGAGCAGGTGATGTTTGTACTGACTCTTGAAGGATGAGCAATTTACTTATCAGCAAAGCAGAGGGATGATGCAACATCACCCAGCAGAATGGTTTACTCCAAGCCACAGAAGTACAGAAAAAACTTGAGTTTGAGTATAGATAGGACAAAGGTGAGAGAAGTGGCAAGGACAAGGGAGGTGAGATTTGAATGTAGGTAAGATCTTGGTTATGAAGAGCGCTTCATGTGGGGCTTAGGCATTTGCATTTTATTCTGTGGGTGGAGAGAAATCACAAAATACATTGACATGGGTTTAAATTGCTTAGAAATAAAACCACATCGTCAGTTTTATTTATATACCCAGTGCAGTTATTGCCCAAGTTTATAGAAACATTGCATTTGCTACTCTAGAGCAAGCAAGAGTTCGTTCTGACCAGTCCTGGCACATATGTGAGCCAGAGCAACCTGGATTTGCAAGGAGTTGTTTCAGCCCTGACATCTCTCTTAAACACAGTCATTGAGCTGTGGTTCCTCACTGTGGCTGAAAGCATAGCCAGAGGCTGCATTATTGTGAGATTGTGGCTTTGACAATTATGTGCTCCTCCACTGCAGGGCTCTTACTTTACATGGGTGAAGGAGCTTGCCAATACATGCTCCATGTTTTCATATTTTCTTCATTGGGTAATTGCAAAATGGGCGATTCTACCTAAATGCAGTGAGATTGATTTCATTCAAACTGCCGACTGGCTAATCAGTGGCCCAGTTTTCCAGCCATGTGATCTGGCATCTGGCATTTACCATCATCATATTAAATTACATAGCACCAATAAATTACCAGCTCATGACTGGGCAAAACTCTTTTCCTTAAACTCCTTCCTGGTTAATACTTCTACAATGTTTAATAGTGCCACAGTTTATCTATACAGGGGTGTCAACAGAAATGTACCAAAATTTTACCACAAATGGAGATTTATGTATGTGTAAATTATACGTAGATAGGCACATACATATATATGTATATATGTGAATATGTATGAATGTGTTGGTCTATTGATGTGAATTTTCCAGATGCCTAAAGCTAAGTGTCTAATCAAATTTTTTTGTTGTTGTTTTACTTAAATCGAGTCTTTATGGAAATATTTCTGAAAGTGCTGGAAGTGTAAGTTATGGAGTCAGCTCGCTCTGTTCAAATCCCTGTTTCTTTATCTACTAACTTTCCATCTTTGGGCAAGTAGTAATCTCTCTGAGCCTCAACTTTCTTATGTATAAAATAAGAACAATAGTTACCACCTCATAGGGTTGCTATGTGAATTAAATGGGTGTGCATATACAGCATTTGATAGGCAGTGGACATTCAGGAAATGCTAGCAATGAATACTTCATGCAATTAGAATTGCTTCTTGAAAACTGAGGCCATCATGGTGACATTAATGATTGCAGGAGAACTGACAACTGATGCCCACAGCACCTATTAAGAGCCAAAATGTTATGTGCCTCTCCATTAAATTGCCCCAGACTGCCAGGATTCTTCCCAGTCTTGTCTTGTTTTTGAGTTTTTATATAGCATCCTGATACGGTTTGGCTCTGTGTCCCCACCCAAGTCTCATCTTGAATTATAATCCCCATAATCTTCATGTGTTGAAGGAGGAATCTGGTGGGAGGTGATTGGATCATGTCAGCAGTTTCCCCCATTTGTTCTTATGATAGTGAGTGAGCTCTCATGAGATCTGATGGTTTTATGTGTTTGATAGTTCCTCTTTCACACGCTCTCTCTCTTGCCTGCTGCCATGTAAGACGTGCCTGCTTCTCCTTCTGCCATGATTATAAGTTTCTTGAGGCCCTCTCTGCCATGCAGAACTGTAAGTCAATTAAACCTGTTTTATTTATAAATTACCCAGTCTCAGGGAAGTTTTTAATAGTAGTGTGAGAATGAACTAATACATATCCCTTGCTATTAGACTATTGGTTATCACATTCTGAAATCACTAATATCTAGGAACCTAACCATTTTCTTCCTTCTTTACTGTTTTACTGACAAATTAAATAATCCAAGTTGATAAAATTCTATCTAAAGCAGGTTAAAAGCTCTGATTGAACACCCAAGTCTGTGCTTCAGTGGCTATGTACTGGCTATTTTAGAACTCAAAGATCTTGTCTGCTGATTTCAAGATTATCAGCTATGTCTGTGACAGATGATACTGCTGTAAGAGACCTCCAGAAAAGTGAGAGAATACTCTTAATATTTCATGTTTGTGTCTGAGTGACACAGGTCTACAGAGGCCCATATCTTTAGAGGTTCAACAGGGAAATAATAGTATCATCTCTTTTAAAAAACCAGATATAACATACAAATAAAAAATATCTATGGCAAAGTTTTTTTTTTTCTTCAAGTAAACTATAGGCCCTGTAAGCCAGGCATGGTGGCTTATGCCTGTAATCCCAACACTTGAGGAAGCCAAAACAGGAGAATAACTTGAGGCCAGGAGTTCAAGACCAGCCTGGGCAACATAGCAAGACCCCATCTCTAAAAAAATTTTTTTTAATTAGCAAGGCACAATAACATGCACTTACAGTCCTAGCTTCTCAGGAAACTGAGGCAGGAGAATCTCTTGACCCAGGAGTTCAAGGGTACAGTGAGCTATGATCATGCCACCATACTTCAGCCTGGGCAACAGAGCAAGACCCTATTTCTAGAAGAAAAAAAATTGTAAGGGAATATACTGACTCAGCTTATCTAGAACAAAGATCTGATCACCATAATTTAAGTAGTAGTTACTACATTTCTTGATTTTTTTTCCTGATTTTTAAACGAGTAAATCCTCATGGGCCTTTCCCTATTACTGTCCATGAAAACACTATATAGGAGAGACTAGAGCTGCCGCATTGCCATCCATGTGAATGGAGCCCCCTGAAGTTGGACAATGAAGCATTCCCAAGCGAGTTGCCATTATAATCATTTTCCATACTTTGGTTTTTTAGAAGGTTTTTGGTGCTTTAGTGGCCAGATTATCTCAGTGTCCAACATAACTATATTTACCTCCCACTCATTCTCCTTACTGCAAATACTTATTAGCCATCATCCATCCAAATTTTGAGAATATTTTCTCCAGAAAACAATCTCTGTGCTTTTTTTCATAATTTCAAATATGAAAATAAAAAGCTGTTCTAAAAGACTGCCATGGGGTCAGTCTTACTCTCAGGACTGAGAGTTCCTTAAGGACAAGGTTGTGAAATTTTAAAATTCTCCTCCTCCAGTGCTCAGCATGGGGCCTGGGTCAGAACAGTGCTCAGGAAATATGTGAGGAAGAAAGAACCATGGGATGGGAAAAGGGGTGGAGGGAAACTGAAGAAGGATGCCTTGGTCAGTTTGGACTGCTATATCAAAATACCATAGAACGGGTGTCTTATAAACAGAAATTTATTTCTCACAGTTCTGGGATCTGGGAAGTGCAAGAACAAAGCACTGCCAGATCAAGTGTCTGGTAAGAGCCTGCTTTCTCATAGATGGCACCTTCTGCCTGTGTCCTCACATGGTGGAAAAGACCAACAAGCTTCCTTGGGCCTGTTTTTGTTTTTTTGTGGGTTTGTTTTTGTTTTTGTTTTTGTTTTTGTTTTTTGAAACAGCCACACTCTGTCACCCAGGATGGAGTGCAGTGACGTGATCTCGGCTCACTGCAACCTCTGCCTCCCAGGTTCAAGTGATTCTTCTGCCTCAGCCTCCCGAGTAGCTGGGACTACAGATGTGCACCACCATGCCCAGCTAATTTTCTGTATTTTTAGTAGAGATAGGATTTCACCATATTGGTCAGGCTGGTCTCAAACTCCTGACCTCATGATCCACCCACCTCAGCCTCCCAAAGTGCTGGGATTACAGGCCTGTTCCACCATGCCTGGCCTACCTTGGGCCTGCTTTATAAGGGCACCAATTCCACTCATGAGGACTTTGCCTATGACCTAATCACCTCTCAAAATGCCCCACCTTCTAATACCGTCACCTCAGGGGTTAGTATTTCAACATAGGAATTTGAGTGGGGATAAACATTCAGACCATAGCCCCTACTAATTTGGAAGTTCAACCCACTTCTGATTATGTTATCTAATAACTGAAAATTTAAACATTTAACAATACAAATGTAAACACTTGAGCCAGGGTTGGGGGAAGTTTAGTGAGTCTTGGTTTGTTTTTTGTTTCTTTTTTTTTTTTTTTTTTTTCTGGTTCTCCTTGTGAGAAATCTTCATTTCTCCAGGTAGACTAGCCTTTTCCAGGTGGATGTTGCCATGACAGCACAACAGAGCACAGAATGTCAATTGCAATCCTCTTTTTATTTTTTCAGGTTACAAATGCTGCTGCCAACTGTCCTGGCCAAATGACTCTGCATCGCAAACCTTTCCTTGTATGTGGAGGGGATGGATTTACTCAGTCCAACTTCGATGGCTGTATCACTTCTGCTTTATGTGTTCTGGAAGCTTTAAAGGATTATGTGTAGTACCTATATCCTTATTCTCTACATGTACATTAGGTTTTTATTTTCACAATTTTCTGTTATTGATCATTTTGTTTTCTATTTTGTTAAGAAAATTTACTGAAAAATTGTTCTTCACTTATCATTTTTCATGTGGAGTATAAAATCAATTTTGTAATTTTAATAGTTACAATCCATGCTAGAATGGAAATTCCTCACACCTTGCACCTTTCCCTACTTTTCTGAATTGCTATGACTACTCCTTGTTGGAGGAAAAGTGGTACTTAAAAATAACAAATGATTCTCTAAAAAACATTAAATCACAATAGCAGTTCTTGTGCCAAAAACTTGATTGTCCTTATGAAAATTTCATTTCTGAATAAAGAATAATCACATTATCAAGGCCCCATCTTAAGTCTTCAAATGTGTCCTTGAATCAATATTTTTGCAAATTACAGAACAAGATTTTTCCAAACTGTGGATAACAGAGTGTAATTCTTACTTCTCATTTATCTCCCAAGTTATTAAGTGATCCTGAATTGTAGGTCATATATGGCATCATCTTAGCATGGAGGGCAACTGGACTGAAAAAGAGACCTTCCTTCAGATTTTCAGAAAATAATAAGATTCCACTTGATTTTCCCAGCCACACAGTACTTTTTAACTTTAAAGCAAATTCTGTCCTAATATGAAAGATAAAAATTAAATAGAAACTGAGAGAAAATATATTGATCCTTACCTTTTGCTATCTTTTATGGCTGGTGCTGTTACCTTTACGGGCTCTCCAGTATGTGCTGTGGCATTTAGACTGTGTCAAGTTTAATGAATTTAACACAACAAAAAATTTACTGAACCAGAAAATAGATGCACTTAAAATAGTTCAATATTTACCAAATTGGTGGTGGTTCAACATATTACCCATATCACTCAGTGACCTGACCCCACAACTTGCTAGCTGGAGAGAAATCAATCTCCAGCCTTCCAAACCAGCTACCTGTTGCTAATTTGAAAAGCAAAATGGTGAGTCCTTTTTCAGCATTTTGAAAGGAGTGAAATTACTGCAACCTCTCAAACTAACAAAAGTTCAACCAAAGACTTCTTATTTTCATAGTGTTTAAAGTTTCACAGTTACATGTCCACTGTTACACATACACATACACAGGAACAGACAGAATTTGCTTATATGGCTGCAAAGTGGGTTTTGTGACCCAATAGCATATTATTATGTTTCCTTTTAGCAATATATTGGTGAAAATCATAAATGCCTACATGTGGTTAATGTCACTTACTTTGAAAGCAGGGAGAGGAAGAAGAAAATTTGTAGTGTCAATAAAATAATGAAAAATGTGATTTTTGTTGTTGTTGTTATTTTGGTCCATATTTGTTTGACTAACATTTGTCTTTGTTTATACATTTTTAAAATTTTTTAAATTTAAGAGTACTTACACAGATTTGTTATATAGGTAAACTTGTGTTGTCACAGGCATTTGTTGAACAGATTATTTTGTCACCCAGGAGTTAAGCCTAGTACCCATTAGTTATTTTCCTGGTCCTCTCCTTCCTCTCACCCTCTACTCTCAAGTAGGCCCCACTGTCTGTTGTTTCCCTCTAGGTGTTCACATGTTCTTATCATTTAGCTCCTCCTTGTAAGTGAGAATATGTTGTATTTGGTTTTCTATTCCTGTGATAGTTTGCTAAAGATAATGGCCTCCAGCTCCATCCATGTTCCTGCCAAGGACATGACCTCATTTTTTATGGCTGCATAATATTCCATGGTATACATGTACCATATTTTCTTTGTCTATATTCTACCATATTTACCCTTAAAATATGGTAGAAAAGTTATTCAAATTTATTATTTTGTTTTTTAACAAATATAATTGTGGAGCCATTTGACTGAAAGTATAAAAACAATGCTATATTTATTTCATGAATGTATGTCCTCCAAAGGAAGGGGAAAAAAAGATTTGTAAAGCTGGGATGGTTGGCTGGAGAGAGTACTCCTCTAAGCCATTATTAATGACTTTTAATATCTATTCATTCTAATTCTGTATCTGTTTTTATAAAACTATGGCAATATGAAGAAAAAACCCTACTTAATATGTAGATCATTGTTACTTTGCTATTTTAATTATTTTGAAAACTTACTTTACATTTAGATTTTCTTTCACCTCTTCCCCATTAGAAATGAAATGGCAGAAATATCTCCTCCTGGACAGAGGGTCATAAAATTCAGCTGGCCAGGATGCTCTGAGAGACCACAGGGCTAAGGTATCAAACTCCCCTGGGAGATCGGAATCAGCACCAAGTAGAACAGTGACCAAGGTGTATGTAAGTTAGCCCCACTGGGCTACACATCATCACAGTATTTCCAAACAAGAACTTTTATTAATCAAGCCAGCCAAGGAAAGCTGTTCTGTTTTGAAAGGAGAGTATTCAGGTAAGAAATGGCTTGAGCAGTGGGGTGATTTAATACTTGTTAGCTGATAAATATAGCCTTTTCCAGAATAAAACTTTATGATCCAGTGTTGAAAAGCTTAATTACTAAACTGTCTATGCATGTCTTGCTCAGGCAGCAAGGGTGACAAATTATAGCAGTGAAATAGTATTTTTCACCTTTGGCATTTCTGAAGGAGAAAAGTATGTCTAAAAACATCAAGAAAGCAGTAATAATCCCAGACCAGATATTACTGAGGGGTACAGTGAAGAGGAAGACACTTCACTGAGTCACCAAGCCTTCTGTGCAAAATGTCATGGTCCTCACCCTCCGCCTACCCACTACCTTGTTAAGTAAAGAGAACAAGGTCAATTTTACATTTATCTGGCATTTTATATTCATCCAAGTGAGTGTGTGTGTGTGTGTGTGTGTGTGTGTGTGTGCATGTGTGTGTGTATTTTCACTTTTCATCTTCCTAACACCTTTGTGTAATAAGCAGAGCAGAGAATTCTTATTTAAATTTAACAAATGAGGAAACCAAGGCACAGAACTTGGCCAACCAAGGTCATGTAATGATATTCCAGGACAAGAGCCCAAGCCCCTCATGACCCACTTCTATTTACAGGCACCATGCTGCTACCAGATGAACATGATAATTAAAACTTAACTGAAATATTAGTTGGGGGTACAGTCCGCACCATGTGGTCTTCTTATTGATGTTTCATTTTAGAGAGTTAACACTAATCCTGATGTGATATATACAGGAGTCCAATATGAGACAGAGTCTCCGTAAGTACTGGCTAAGTGATTTATGCTCCTGTTACTTTCATTTGCTGGCTTATTTCCTTCTTTGGGGGGTACTTGCTGTGAGAAATAGCTTCGTGCTAATGACACTGAATTTCAACCCAGCAGTAGTTGGTTACAGTACAGACTCACTCTGCGTTCATCCTTTCCATCTGTTTCCTCTGTTTCTTTGTTCCTCCTCTTATTTTACTCTCTCCTTCTCTTCCAGTCTCTGCCATTTCTTCCTCCCCTTCTATTTCTTTATCCTTCCTCTTTGCCTAATGCTACATTCTCAGAAAAACCTGGAATACGAAAGCAATCACCTTATGATTCATAGTATTTGTACTTCCAGGTTTTAATATATCAGGGTTTTGTTGTGGCTATTCATAAAATTTAAAGCTATCCCAGAGGAATGATCCTGTTTGTTATTCAAGTTGATTGAACAACTCTTATGTTGATGTTCAAAAGTGATGCAAGAATTTGAAACTGGCCATAGCTTTCAGGAATCTCAGTGCTGATAAACTAAAACATGACTTGTATGGTTTTTTTACTTCAATTCTTTACTCTTCCTTTCACATGTGTGTAAAGCCCGCTACTGGACTCTTTGGTGGATGCAATGGAGTATAATCATCAATCCCTACCCAGAGATCCTACTTAGGAGAAGACAAGACCCCTGAGGTGGGAGGCAGAGTAGAGGTACATGTTGACAAGGTCATAGACAGTGAATAAGATGCTCTAATTCGTGAAGCTAGGGAATCCTAAGAGAAATGTTTCCTTTGGAGAGAAAGGATACCTGAACAAATACAGAAAGGCCTCAGTTAAATACATCCAGCAATATCCCTCCCCTCCACACCATACCTGGGCTGACCAGGCTGACTTTAGAATCTGAACTGCATATGAGTGTGTCAGCACAAGTAAGTTCTTGCTGTGCAGAAAGCTCAACAGAACAGAGAAAGAGGTCTCTGCCAGGAGAAAAAAAAGCCTCAGCAAACTTCAGACGATCTAGGGCAGGACTGAGCTGCAGTATTCCAATCTGGAATATATTTGTGTTGTAGGCAGTATCATCTGACCAGGTAAACCAAGGAAGGTTGAATGGTAGAATGACTCACATTTCCTTCTCAAAAGATAGTAATTACTATCCACTCAACAGTTCACAGCAGAATCCCACAAAAAAAGCCTGCTAAGGAGGAAGAATCTCTAAGGGGTTGTTAATGTAAAAGGCAAGTTGAATTATGAAACCTTGGAATGTCTAAGCTTAGAGAGTTTTGGAAAACATTTAGACCTGTTGGTCTTAACCATCTTGGATTTTGAACCTGTTTAAGAAGCTGTGGAAAGCTATGGACCTCCTAATAAGAACAATGAAGGCAACTATGCATATGAGCACACAGAATTTGTATACCATTTAATGCCTGCTGACCAGCTGCTTGGTTTTGTAAATAAAGTTTTATTGGATCACAGCCTCACCCATTCATTTGTGTGTTACCTGTGACTGTTTTGCACTACAACAGTAGAGATAAGCAAGTGTTTTTGACAGAGACCATACGGCCTGCAAAATATAAAATAGTTCCTATGTGGTCCTTTAAGAAAATGTTTACTGCCCCGTTTTAGGTTCAGCCCTTCCCCCACACACACATTTGTCTGTAGACACTCAGGGATCTAAGGAGAACCTCTAAATCTTAAACCTATCACTTTATGTAAATACGGCCTTATCTTTGATCCACACATCTGGTCCATTGTTCCTTGATCCTGTGACACATTGTAAATCCCTTAAGGCAAGCCTATAACTTTGCAGTTAAGAACACATCATCTGCAGTTAGATCTGTGCTTTAATCATCTAAAATTTGCTCCTCATTGTGTAACCTTGAGGCAGTTAAACAATCTCGCTCAGGTTCCTTTATCATCAGCAAAATGAGTTAATGATAGCTACCTCGTAAGATTATTGTGAGGCATACCTTTACATAAAGCCTTAAGAGACTGCTGGACACATAGTAAATAATAAATAATAACAATGATGATATTGATGATAAACTGGGAAGGAGGAGAAAGGAGAGGGGAGGAAGAGTCTAACCTGGTGCCTCTGAAGCCTCTGTGAAGGCCAGTTTCCTCTGTATTCACATAGGACACAGGAGAATTGATGATAAGGAGAGTTGATGATAGCAAGACATGGTGAAACCCAGAAGCTTAAAAGC